AAAAACCCACAATAAGGAGGTATATGAATAAGGTACATTAAAAACGGATGAAAAGAGATGAATAGAATTTACCCATTACTGAAACGTTTAACAAAAAGCATTTTTTCATTTTTACTACCAGAAAGATGTTCCACTCTTTACAGCCTCTTCCATCCCTTCCAGTCTTTCCCTCTCCCAAAGTTTTGTTAGAAATTTTAATATAATCCAACTGAAATTTAAAAAAAGAGTCCCTACCAGCAAGGTATAAACACTTACCTCTCCTCCTTCTTCCTCATCCTCGCCTTCAGCACCATCCACTCTTGCAGCACCGCTTGAAGCCGGGTCAAGTGGGAAGCTGCCAGGGGGTGCAGGAGATGCACCCATCCATGGTGGGGGAGGTGGTAGGAACGGAGGAAACGGTCCACTCGGCGGACCAAAACTGTTTGGCAGAGGCGGCAACCATCCCGGCGGTGCGCCCATATAATTTCCATCTAAAAATGCATTTATTAAAATACAGCAACAATCAATGCCTGCAGCACACGCTTTAACAGGCCCCATGCATGTTTCATTCCGCCGCTCTTCTCTCATCTCGTCCTCTACCCTTGTCTCCCCTGTTTGTCCCTGCCCTGCCACTTTTCCACAAACCTAAGCCAACACTTCCCCCTCCCTCTTCGCGCAAGGCGAGCGTATGATTCCTCAGCTGTATTAATTATTACGTGCTTCTCTGGCTTGAACTCCGGGGTATTGACAACGTAGACAAAGCTTTTCTGGTTTGATATTTTTATAGCATCAGTGAAATTGTCGCTTGGCTGCCTTTTGATGCTCAGTGATTGATGCGCACACATAATGCTTGAATCAGGGAGCTGTAGGCTTTTCCGTTAATGCTGTCTATTTGTAAGCGGACCTGCACATGCCAAGAACAGTTTGGAGAGTTAATCACGAAGAGGGAAGAACCACTTCAACAATGTTATTTAGCTCATTGGAGGACGAAGCAGCAAAAATGGGAAGACAATTCTGCAACCAACAACTTATCCAGATTTTTACAAAATGGGATTAACTCATGTAAATCCCTATGAGCTCATGTAAATCCCTGCCTGTTAGAAGACAAAGCAAAACGACTTTAAAACGTACCAACTGGCACAGGAGGCAAATACCCACCAGGAGGCAAAAAAGACCCATTTACCGGAAGTGCACCAGTCGTTTGTGAGAAATTCGGGGGTTCAGTGCTTGGCGGTGGAACTGGTTCTCCGGATGAGCCTGGCGGCAGATTGCCCGAATCTCTCATCTGCATCCATTTCTGTGCAAGCTGTGCCCAATTCACTGAAAATGTACAGCCATCATTTCTAATAACGAAAAATACTTTACCAGAAAGTTCACAAGCGCCTCTGAAAACATTTTTGCTTCTTTCGATTCGTTATGGATCAGAACTGCGAACTCCTGGCTGTGCTGTGCATTCCTAGCTGTGCATTCCTCTCAGTGCACCCTTACCTACAGTATGGTTCAAGATTATATTTTACTAAAATTTGAGAAAATAGCATTAAATTGTAATTAAACAGCTAAGCAGGAATGCAAGTATTTCCGATAAACTATCGAGGAATTAATCGTTCGAATATGTGATTTCTAGATATATACTATAATCGCTTGCTATAAACTCAAAGTTCAATTATCACTAAGGAAGCCACTGTCTTCCTAGTTAGCCTTCACTTTCCAGTAACTTTACCGCACAACGATTTCTCCAATATTACGATTGAGACTCACTAAAAATTGCCTTGAAAACACAAAATTTGAACCGACTAA